AGAAAATATCTTCTTCTCCAAACAGTCCAGTCCAGTCCAGTGATGAACAGACTTTAGGAATACAACCCAAGAATAAATAGAATAAATAGAATAATAAATGAGGAACCAAGAACCCAGGGTTCAATGCTACCAATTTGTTGTGTGACCCTTGATCAAGTTTCTTAGTCTCTACCAACTTCATGTGTCTTTTGTAAACCATCAGGGAGGGACCTGTGAGTAATTGATTCCCTGTGTGCAGGTCTGTGTCACTGAGCACAGTCAACAAATGCTACTTTCTTTTCCATTTTGCCTTCTTCTCCTAACCCCAAACTTGCATGTTTCTATAACTTAAAGGAACAGTATAGAAAACTAAATTCTTTATGTCCATAATGTTCAAACTTTTAGGTAAGAAACAGGTTTATTATGCTTCAAACCAAACAATACAAAAACATCATGAAATAATGACACTTATTACATGGAATGAATTCAAGTATTTTCTTTCATATGCCATTTCGTTTTTAAAAGACATGCTTGCCACCATCCAGTAAATGAATGTCAGAAGCCACCAATGGCCTGAATCTTAAAGTTTAAAGTAATGTTTGTAAGAAGGCTGTTTTTGTACAGTTGAAAGCATCTAAATGGGTGTATAATGGAAAACGCTGAAGACTACTACCTTGAAAAATGCTGAACACATAGTTAGAGGAACCTCTCCCCAAACAGCAAGGGAGATGATATTTCAGTTCACTTTCATGGGAGACTCAACATCTTGCACAGCTGGGCTGTGTGGAGTAGTTTTTCCTGGCCAAGAACTCACAGCTCTCAGTTTGCATTGGAAACCACCCTACTTGGGCAGCAGGCTACTTTCTCAGCACTCCCTGTAGCATCCACTCAGTGGAAGCAACTCAGAAGGCTGGGGAGTGAAAAGGGCAAGACAGACGAGGGTCTGCTCTTCGCACTTTCAAATAAAGAGTGCTGGTTAAAGCCACAATACACTTAAAACAACAACAACAACAATGCAACTCACCAAAGTAGTCTGGGAAGTAGCTGTGACACAGAGTCACTTCATTTGGAAAAGGCACACAGAGGACTGATACGGTGAGTTATTTCCCCCCTTCACTTATTTTTTTTTTAAATTTTTAAACATTTTTCTCTTACTGAAAAATTTAAAGGAAGATCAGACTTTCAGAGAGAGAGAAGCACCTAATATTTCTGTTGTGTGGAATGCCTGCACACTTAAAATGTAGATAGCAAATGTGATGTATGCACATTTTATCACAATTTATAAGAAGTGAATTGGCAGGTCATTTACCACTGTGGTTGACAGCAGGTCAGTGGTGGACACTCAAGCTTGACACTACCTCCTACAAATTACAAAGCCCCAGCAAGTGACTTAATACTCGCTCTCCCTGCACCACCGCCCCCCCCCCCCAGCCTGTTCCTTCATCTGAAAAATAGAAGTAAAAATAAAAATAAAATATGGTGGTAATGTTTGTCAAATATCAACAAAATTCTGAGCATAATTGCTATCATGTAGATAGTAAATAATTATGACTTAATAAAACCACACTTTACTGCTTCAATTTGCTCTGCTTCTTATCATCCATATTATGAGCTTAAACAGCAACTCATAGAAAGACATGCTGCCAAAGTGAAGAGATTTAACTATCTGCTAATTTTCCAGGGCAGAAGTGTATGCTTCTGGGCTTAGGAAGCTATTCCTAATTTCTGAAATGTCAGATTCTCATTTTCCCTTGAGAATATAGTTAGATGACTAAATAGAGTAACTGGAGTTTTTGTGTAAATGACAAGTTACAATAAGGTAGAAGACATTTTTATCATTGCCAGGGAAAACCTTTTAAGTCACTTTTCTGCCAAACATCATGCTTTTCTGTAAGTTTCTGGTTTAACAGCTAGGATAAGTATGGAAATGATAAGCAGAATGAAAACTGCTTAGAAACGAAATGCTTAAAGTTTGAAAATAATGAATAGAAAAAGAAAGAATGAGTTTAATGATGTGTGTATATGATATATACATACATATACATGCATGTATATATACACACATGTATACATCACCGTAAGACTAATGCCTCTACTTTCATTATAGAGTTAATTGTGAGAATACATATACATATATATATGCATATATATATAAAATTCTCATAAAGAATGAGTTTAATGATGTGTGTATATGATATATACATACATATACATGCATGTATATATACACATATGTATACATCACTGTAAGACTAATGCCTCTACTTTCATTATAGAGTTAATTGTGAGAATACATACATATATATATATATATATATATATATATATATATATAAAATTCTCATACTCATCTGTGTCACTGGGATTTTTCATTATATAACAATGTTGTTTTCAACAGTTTTGGGGAAAATTACTTTGAAAATTGAAATCACCTGAAATCAAATACAAACTTATTAACAAACTGTCATATGACATTAATGTATCAGCAATATCTTCAGGGGCAAACAACATAGTCACTAACTCTAAAACATTAAACACATTAAAAACAGGAAGCATTCATTCAAATTCCTACTTTAAAGAAAGGCAACTATACTATAATTAAATATTGCATTAGAGGGAAATATTTGTCTGTGGAGGTTTACTCTAGAATCCCTGAAGTTATAGACTTATACCATAAGCCCACATTCTTGAAAGAAAATCCTGGACTCAGGGAATTCATTATATAGGGAATTTGATCTTTGCCATAGACAAGGAGAGAGAATGTGTTACAACAGAATGAGGGGCCCTTATAGAAATTTCAGGGGATTCCAATACCTGCTGTGGACAAGAGAAAATTGAACATCAGTGTTGGAAGGGATCATGAAATTACAGGAGGAGCCCATATGTGAACAACTAAATATCCCTGTTATCCCTGAAGGAGAAGTGAGACAGCAGGAGGAATCCAAGTGTCAGTAGTGGTAGTGTCTGCCATGCACTGACTCAGAGCAAAGTCTCTGTTGTAGGAGGTGGAGCTGGTGGGAGAGCAGGTGTAGAAGTCTACTTAAGAGTCATCTTGAGCCACCATAACACGAGACAAGACAGTAGCGGAAGTGAACATGAAGAAGCGGATGGTAACAGAAACCTTCCCTGGAAGTTGACACTTTTAAAAGTGTAGAAGACAATCAAGAGACACTAACAAAAGCCAGTGATGCCAAACAGGTTACACTGGAAATGAAAAATAAAAGCTGCTAAGAGAAAAGAAAACAAAAAATCTTAATTTAGATTAAATTGCTAACTTGTGGGACTCTGTGGGTTTCAGATCTTCCTATACCCTCTCTTTAAATATATGTTCATTCAATCAGCAAAAGAAAGGGACTAACGAGATCTTTCTGTGGTAGACACCTGCATCAGACAATGGCCCTGATCTCTGAAAGATTTTAAACAGCTGTGCATAAACTTCAAAAGTAATTTGCAACCAAATTAGTAAATGTCACCCTTCTTCCCACTAGACACAGCACTTTCAAGAGATGAAGCATCCGCAGTAAGTCTGCCATTTTACCAGTTACCAAAGATCGGTGAGGGGGGAAAAAAAGAATGAAGATGTTCATTCACAGGTTGGGATGTGGAAAGGGTCAAAGGACCGAGGTCCCTGTTCATAGGGCTTCTCTATAAAGCAGCTCCAGTCAGGAAAGGACCAGAGGTGGCCATCCCTTCTAGAGAAACAAAGCAGGGGCCAGAACAACTGATGAAGCCTCCTGGAGCCTACTGAATCTTGCTGCTTTACACTTCTCTTTGCCAAATGAAAAGGGCAATGAAGAGGAAGCAGACAGAGTATGCAGGCAGACTCCCCGGGTCTTGCAGGCACTTCATTAAATAATTTTGCAAGCTGGTCTGTGCTCTCAAGGGGCACCTATGACTTGAAGGACCATTTTGTATTGGGCACAGATGGGCCATTTTCCCCACTGACAGGCACAGCCCATAGAGTAGCATTCTCTCCACCTCACCGCCCCCCTCCTCAGCTTTTGCCATTGCTGAATAATCTTTTATTAGCACCACTTCCAGCCCACATAGTGTCAGGACAACCCGAGGACAAGGCAGCTCTGTGGCAGTCTCCTTGCAGAAATGACCAGAATCTCCTTTCACTCTGGTGGCAAGTGCTCAGGCCTTTAGCATTAAAGTCACTCTCACATTGATAACTGCTGGCTCTTAAAAATTCAGTAAAATAAAGATTTAATCTCACAAACTACACTTTGATAACCTGTGGCCCCCAAAGCTGGAAAACAATGTAGCTCAAGGTCACAGGCTTCAGCACCCAGACTTCCCCCCACCCTTTAACAAAGCTGCTTCTCACCCACCCCAGGCCCTTGGAAAGAAACTTGGGTTTGTTTAGAAAAGTGAATGTCCGCAGCCCGGTTTGCTGCTCCAGCAATTTCCCAGAAAACACCCTTTCTTACACATTTTTGCGATCAGTATAAAAACTTTCACCTCCTTCCCTCGGCTTCAGCCCGGTTAGTTCAGGTGAAAGGAGAGTAGGAAGGAGGCGCCCTCAGCCCGGCTAGGCGGCCGGCACCGGCCACAGCCACAGTCACGGTCACCAGCACACAAGAAACCCAGACGGGGTGGGGGAGCCCCAAAGTTGGCTTTGGCTCTAGTTTTTTTTTCGATTTCGTTCTCAGCCCTGCTTCCCGCGGCAGCCTTAGCCCCCTTCCTGGAGCAGTTCCGAGGGACACCTGCGTGGCCCTTCCCTCCCGGGTCCTGGCACCTGGCACCCTCCCTCCCCTCCCGCATCTCGGGGCGCAGGGGTCCTACCTGGTGGCGCAGCCCGGGTATGAACGCCGCGTCGCTGCTGCTCGGGTGGCGCGGGCACTGGCACGGGTTTGGCGCACGGCTGGTGCGCCCCGCGGGTGGCGCCGGCCAGGGGGCGCTCGTGGTCCTCTCTCCCGCGCCGCCCGGCAGCCCGAGCGGGACCCGGCACCCTGCTCAGGGACACGCGCTCAGCCGCGCACTATCCTCGCCAGCCCAGCGCCTTCTGCCTTTCCCCTGCTCATCCTGTCCCCACCCTCCATCCTCACTCCTCACTGGCCACTTGTCGCTCCGCTGCGACCTGGACCAGAAGACCGTGGTAGGCTAGGGTGGGACAACCCCCGCAGGTGACGGTGCTGCAGGCAGCGCTGAGCTGGGGCGGCTCAGCCTTGGTCACATTGAATGCTGGGGAAGGGGGCGCGGGACACCCAGCTGAAAATCGAAAAAGAACCTCCAGAGGGAAGGGTCATAGGTGTCTGTCAGTCGTGTTTTACACCAGAAAGGACTTGTAAACGTTGTTCTTTTAAAAATAACCTACCGGGAATAATGGGTTTCTGATTGCTCCTTATCTGTTATCTTGCACATGGTCGTTTTACACACAAGTTCCAAAGTTGAACTGCTTTAAACTTTACAGTCTTTGAAGCTGCAACATCGCCAGTACAACGCACTTGTCACTTCAGGACTTTTTGTGCTTGGTTGGTAATATAATGATTAGCATAATAAGGATATTTGGGGCAGTTTTCCCTATACTTCATAGAATTAACTTTTCATTTAGGTTAGAAAATTATGTCTGGTTTCCAAAACGATTACAGAGCAATTTTCTTTCAATGATAACACACAATGATTAAGTATACTTTGTTAAGTCTTTTGTTGTTACAATATACGAAAACCAGATTAGTCTGATAAATTAAGTGGCTTTTTTTTTCTTTTCTTTTTCTCCCCTTTCCCTCCCTCCCTCTGTTTCTTTTATTCTTTCTTGCTGCTGGGAATTGAACCCTGAGCCACTTGAATGCAAGGCAACTAATTAACTAATTTATTTTCTTTCTTTCTTTGCTTCCTGCTTTTCTTTCCTTTTTTCTTTTTTCTTTCCTTCTTTTCTCTCATTCCCTCCCTCTCTTCCTTCCTTCTGCTCTCCTTCCCTCCCTTCTTCTTTTCCTTCTTTTCCCTCCTTCTTTTTAAGAGATTAAAAATATACAAAAGAGCCAAACCAATAGATTAGCAGGCTTTTGATGACGGAAATATAGAATGTCATCTTAAAAGGACCTTGGAGTACTTTCAGTTCCAGACTTTTAATTTACAAATGAAAACCTGAGGTCCAGAAGTGTTCTGTGACTTGATTAAATCACTCAAGGCTGCACTGGTGACTCTTTGCTCTAATCTATGTGAACTCAGCAAAGCCAACGCATGCCTTTTAAGTACAAAAACATATTTCATTAAAATTAGCCATCCCTCCCATTTGTTAATGTCTAGCAGCTTTAAACTGGCCCAAAGGACAGGATCTCACAACACAGAAGTTATACTTCTTGGAAGATTCTAGCCTAGAGGTAGGAAGGTGCTGGTTCATCATGACTTCACCAGAGTTTGGCATATAGTAGGTCCCCGTTATATATTGGCTATTCAAAAATTGCTAATAGAAAAATGTATCTGTCTGGAAACAAGGTGACAGCATTGAGGAATGATCCCTGGCTCCTTCTCCAGCCCTCTTTCAATGGAGCCTGTCACAAAAAGTGGCAAGAAGCCCAAGGTCCTTGTGCCTAGGAAGATTCCTCATCCTTCTCAGAGCCACCTGAACCTGCTTGTTGGGAATTCTCTGGGTTTCCTTCAAGCACACTCTGACAGCAGGCCCTTTGCAGTTCTCTTCTGTCCTCTAGCCTGGATGGGATGTGTGGTCATATGCTAATGCCTCCAGTGGGTACACTGATTGCATTTGCTTACTCTGTGCTCTTTTTATACCTTAAGGCAGTTATCTTTTGTGAGAGTTAAGATTTACCTTGGGAACTGAAACTCGTGTCTGAGTTTTCCACTGACAATTTCAAAAGAAGGCTAAATACAGACAGGGGTGTAAGGAAAAATTTTAATGCCCTGCTACTTTAATCAGTTGCCATTGGTTTAAAAATCAAATTTTAGATGATGATGCTGTTGGCCATAAAGTAAGTACCTACCTACCAGGTATTGTGACAGGCACGTTTGATGCACCGTTCATCTGATCTTTATAACAATCTTTTAAAGTAGGTGTTGTTGACATGGAGCCATTGTCATCATCTCTTTTTAACAGATAAAATTAATGAGGTTTCAAAGATTATGTTTTGTGTCCAGAATCTCACAATTATTAAAGTTCCAGGATTAGGATCCAAACTCTGAGCCTCAAGGCCCCCTCTCAGGTGCTGTGGAATAATGCCTCCATCCTAACATTGCTCTCAGTTTTCTGCTTCACTTTCTTTTGGACATCAGGTCTCAAGTCTCATGATGCTCTATTATTCTCTGACCATATAGTCCTACAATTGGAAACTCTTTAATATGAAGATTGGATCTTATATAATAATCATCATATGTCCTAGAAAAAATGTTTTGTTTTGTTTTGTTTTTGTCTTAGAATGTTATCTAAAACAAACAAACAAAAATCCAAATCTTTTTCTGGAACACATTGGTGGAGTGGGAACCCTGCACTTTTGGACCCCAGCATCCTGCAGGACCATCCTTCCCCTCTCCAGGTTGCAAGGCTTTTCAGCTTTTTCTCACTGTTTCACACACACGCAGATGATCAGAAGTTCACACCTTGGTTTCCTGGAAGAGGAAATGGCATTTCCGGGAGGGGATAATGCGTGGGTGCTAAAGTTCCACTCCCTGCCTTAAACACACCCCAACTTTCAGTTGCGCACTTCTTTTCCTCCTTAGGTCTTTGCCCTAAAGTTTCCTGGAATCATGCTGAGTGCACCTGCTTCATTAGGTTCTCTTCAGCTGAGAAAGATGTGATTCCTGCTTTGGACTCAGTCGCTCAAGATTCCCAGGCGTCTTGTCCCTGCAGCTGTCACAAACCACTTTCCTCCAACTTGGAATCTGGAAGAGAGCCTTAGACATCACTTGGTGTACTTTTGGATCTAGTGGGTGACTATGCTGTGATTTCCATGGAAACCACCTCTTATACCCTTCTGTGGGATTAACCTTTCTTAAGGGACTTAGGATAGAAATTGCAAAGGAGTTGTTCTTGTTTGAGCCTCAATGTGGAGAAGGATGGTATTTGGGGAGAAGTAGGATATGACTGACAATTGGAGGACAGTGCTATTTAACAAGAACTTCTCTGTCTTTGCACAAGTCACCATTTGGAGGAAGCCAATTTGGACTATTTTATGAGGAATTTGATCACCCAGCTATCCATTTCCCCAAAGTCTGCCAGAAATTGTTTTAAAAAATGTCACACCCAAGTCCCCTGAAGAATCCACATGGAATTCAAGGATGGTGATCTGCTGTAACCAAAGATTTCAGTAACATCTGAAGTTTGGCATACATTTATTTGGAAAATGTAAAAATTATTTTAGAAGATATTGATTCAAATGAGCTACAGAGATGCAAACAAAAACAGGTATTTTAAACTCACAGCTTGGACAGGGAAAGGGAGGTTTACTTTTTCCTCTTCAGCTCAACTTAAGAGTTTTAAGTGGGGAAAAAAAAAGATAATTGGAATTTAAAACATGTTATTTTCAGAGGATAGCTCTAAACCCCAAAGCAAAAATTAGCCCTCCCATAGGGGAATAAATAAACCACAGTTACTGTTGATAATAATGCTAATATCAACTCTTGCAAATCATGGAATGAACAGTGAAAGAGAAATGCAAAACTCACTCACCCCAAGGTACCAAAGTGAATATGGTCATGGTGTACTTCTGAAAATCTTCCTAAAAGTATTTATTAAACATAGTTAGTAATGTTAAGATACTTTACCCCTTTAGACCATGTAGGGGTGGTAGTTATTTATTTCTTCATTTAACATAGTGATTAGGGTGATGCTAAAATATTTATTAATGCTTGCTGTGCATTTACTCTGTGTGTCAGGGCATGGAGTTGAATTTATTTTAATTATTTTATTTGATTATTATGCCAAATTCTATGATATGGGCAATATAACTCTTCATTTTACAGATAAGACAGTTGAGTTTGGGAGGCTAAACAAACAACTTCTCAGCTTTATCTAGTCAATAAGTGGTAAGCCTGATTCAACTGATCCTCAAATCCATGAATTTTAAATTATAGACAGAAAATAAGGCAAGAATTGAAATTGTAGCTTGACTCTTAAAATAGTAAAAGAATCATGTATTATTTAATTTCAATTAATAAAATATTCAGAGGGAAAAAGTTCTCACATGTATAGATGTTCACACATGTATAGATAACCAGTGCATAAATTATAATGTATTGCAATATTAATAATAAAATCACAGAAAATGAAGCCAAGTGTAATTCTTAATGATGAAAAATAGAGCAAAAAAGTTTTTTTTTTACTGAGCATCAATTTTATTATATTATGAGAGGATGAAATTAAGAATGAAAGTTTCCCTTTTTTAAATGTTTTTAAGGTGGAATAATTCTAAAAACCTAATATTTGTGCCTTATTTCAGTCTTTGTTTCACTATTCTATGGGCATTGACTTTGTAGTCACTACTATAATAAGGAAACTAATTGTAGCAAAAGTTCTGATTCAAACAGTGAATATTTTCAATATTTTTAGCATTGATACAAGTTAACACAATAAACTCCAGGTGTATTTCTAAGTTCTAAGGGCAGAATCAGCAAATGGCTAGTCCCCTATTTCTAAGGCCAAACAGATATGGTTCTCTTGGTTTCTGGAAGTCTAGGGACACATACCAGCCATAGTAAGTATGGCCCAAATAGTCATAAAATTTTGTCTGAAATTAAAGAGATATGGATGAGAAGATTTACAGAGACCACTTTTTAGTGATTCTCCTCTACCAGGAGAAAAATGCCTCTGGAAAGACAATACTCCTGATGAGAAACCCTCCCCAAGGAGGGTTTATATATCTGAGAATTAATGTGTGAATCTAGGAGGATGAAAGTCAGGATGAAATCTTCTGTCGTGTTTATAAATTTGATTATTGCAATTCTACAATTTGACCTAGTGCGATTGCTCTAGGATTTGAAAAGGCTAATGTGTTACTTTAGAATAAATCTTAATCTTTTTGAAAACAAAAAGGCAATCCTCTCCTTAGTCCATTTTATTCCATCCATACTAACACATTTAGTAGATGATTTTATTCTGCCATCAATACCCCCTTTACACACATGCACGCATACACAAACACTGTCTGGAAAGAATTTTTCATTTTATGAAAAGTATATTGGACTACATAGGATATTCCATCAGGTTTCTTCCAACTCCCAAATTCTGAAAATAAGTGTCAAATTGAAGAAAGCACTAACTCTCAGCAAGGGGGGTTATACAGCAATTTACTTCTAATGGACTCACTGTTGATTTAGTCTAATATACTCACTGGTATAAAAAAATTCCAAATGCCCTTGAAGAAGTCCTATAATTATGGCATCAGGAAAGCAATGAAAATCATTAGTCTCTTCTTTGTGTACAGCCTTCTTGGTAATACCCTACCTTCAACCATTCACTTCAAAGGAAAAAGTTGTAGAACAAAAATATAAAACATTTTTTTCTCCCCTCAGTGGTTGAGACTAAATGGACCATAGTTCATTTGGGGGCAACTGAGTTAGGTGTGCTCTGAGTATGGTCATGGTTTATTCCTCCAATGCAAGCATCTCACCCTGAAATTGTTTGTTTTGGGGCCTCAAATGGCAACTCAGAACTGGTTATTTCTTTCAATGTGAATTGGCTGATGTGTTGTAAATAGGTCTGTGATGGTATTTCTATTTCTTCTCCTTCTCCTTCTCCTCCTTCTCCTTCTCCTCTCTCTTTCCTTCTCTTTCTTTCTCTCTTTCTTTCCTTACCCCTGCCTCTCACTAGACAGGAACAGCCCAGAAAAGTGGAAAATTTCTGTGTTTTGAGATTCAGGCTATAATTCAGAGAGAACAATAGCTTATGTTTGTACCTCTGTGCAACATTAAAATAATGGGAAATGAATGAGCTAATCTTTTTGTATATCCTACAAGAACTTAATGGAGATATAATTCTTGAAGATTAAAGGTATTTGAAATCAGAAGATATGTTTATTTTTATAACTAGACTGCAAATGTCATGTGTTATTTTACAATCTCTTTCTCCCACATAATTGTTTTAGAGTTAATAAAAGGGGGAGGTTCATAATACAACCTGCCAATTTCATAAGGAAGATTGAGTAGATAAAAACCTGTAAAATGCTTTGACCCCCCTATAAGCCTCAAAAAGAAAATGCAGACTTTGGAATGAATATCTGCTCTTTATAGGGCATTTGCAACCTAGTGTTTTACAGATATAAGCTTATTTAACACTCATATCAACCCTATAATTTGGGTGACATTTACACTTTATAGACGAGAACATTGAGGCTCAGAGAAGCTGAATAACTGGATTCAAGATCACAAAGCAAGGGATTGGCAGAGCCAAAATCAGAACCTGGGGTGGCTCTGTTCAGAGCCTATCCTGAGCATTCTAGAGAATTCTGGCCACCAGCTACAAAGGCCACAAATTGGGGGTGTATTCCACATGCTGATTTTGAAAGACAATATTTATTATTTTTCCTATGATAAAGTAATGCATTTGGGCACACATACACACACACACAGAAACACAAATTATAATTAGAAAAAAAGTAAAAGAAGAAAAAAAAAGGTTAACCATAATTTCACAACCCAAAGACAGTTAATCTTCTGGTTTATTACTTTATATTCTTATATCCATGCATAGTATTTGGAATTGTATTATTTTAAAAATAACTCCTATTGGTTGCCTGATTATAAGGTAATGAATATTCACCATAGAAATTTTGAAAAATACAATAATGTATATAAGAAAAAATTTAAATCACTCATAATCTCAAAATGTAAAAATAACTGTTAAAACTTTGGCCTTTTATTCTTTTCATGACTGAAACCAACAGCACATAACTTGAAACTTTATTTACTTATTAGTGATTTAAAATGATCTGCATCATACAGTTTATAGTTTAGTTTACACATCATTTTTTTTAGGTTGTTTGGTTTTTACTTGATTTGTTGTTTTATTTTTCCTGAAATTACAAATTTGATTTTCAGACAGATGGTTAGAATGACGTGGTTGCTCTAAATAGAACTCTCTACTTTTCACTGAAGGACAAAAATTACTCCCACATACAAAAGAAAAAAGAAAAACACCTCAAAGAAGGAATCATGATACTGTTTCAATCTGCCCTGAAAACACCACAGAAACACTTCGACTTTTTATGCTTTTTTTCATCTGCAACTGGTTTTAAGCAACTTTTCATCAAGACTAAAACAATTGACACTGAACTGCCAGATCAAGTAAATAAATCTGGGGTTACGTGACTTGGGGAGGGCTGCAGAAATGTGAATTAAATCTTAATCACACTAAGAAAGTTTTTTACGGCTCCCAAAGCCAGAATGCTATTCTTTGAGAATCTTTGCACCCTGTGATTTAACCTGCCAAGGACACTTAAAGAATTTAAGAACTCAAGAAGTGTCCAGGGTAAGACTCAGCAAGGTGCACCAAGTCTGGCTGCCACAACTGTGCTAAGAAGATTTGGCTTTTCCCAGGGATATAGTAGGAACCTGAGCAAAGGAAACAAAATGATAAATAAACTGAAAGTTTTTAAACTTACATTCTCAAGTTTATGCTCTTTTGTCTACTCAACAGAGTAGCAAAGCACTAAAAGGGTTTTTAGAAAACTCTTGTACATGAATATTTCCCCCAAACTTCTCTGTATGTTTTTTTTTTTTTTTCCAGAATCATACTTTTTCTTTTCCTTGCAATTGTATTTTGATAGAATGCAGATCTCTTCCATGGTTCTCAACTTAAATTCTTCCTTTTATTTCCCAACTATGAGAGAAAATTCCAAAAATTCCAAGCCATACTTTGTAATTCCTTGAACATAGTGGATCCATTATGTACATTATAGAGAGGGTGTGGAGAAAGTGGAATTCTCATGCAAATTAGTACAACTTTGGAAAATTGTCTCACAATATCTGCTACAGCTGAACATAGCGCCACCAGTGACCCAGGCAGATCATATGTCCACAAGCTACAGAAATGTGTCCAGATGCACTAAAAGACATGTACAGTTCATCCATCCTAGTATTGTTCATAATCACCTCAAACTGGAAGCAACCCAAGTGCATCGTGAAATTGTGGTTCTTCAATCAATTGAATCCATGCACAGAAGAATTAACACAAGAATGCCATATGCCACTCTCTGAGCACATCTTGCCAACATAATGTTGAGTGAAAGAAGCCAGTTTCCCCCAACGGACTTACTGTATGTTTTCATTTACATAAAGTTAAAAAGTAAGTAGAATTAATTGGTGTGATGTGGAGTTAGGACAGTAGTTATTCCAGCAGGGAGGTGGGTGGTGGAGTGTCTGACCTCTGGCTGCCTATGGTGACTTTTATTACTAGATACGGAGGATGGTCACATAGGTATGCCCTCCTTGTAAGAGTTCATCTAGCTGTCCACCACTGGTGAGTTGTTTACTTTTCTGAATGTGTCAATTCCAATAAAAAAAGATTATTTGAAAGTGGACTCTAATAGTATTGTATTTATAAAGCTCTTTCTGTGTAGCCAGAAGCAGGATTGGTTTCCCAGGTGATGTGGAGTTCACCAGGGGTTCAGTGAGTAGGGATTAGGTGGCAATTGTGCTAATTCCTCCTTTCTGTTATTTAGGAGGCCAACAATCTGAGCTTAATGACAGTGTGACCTCAAACAAGTCATTGATATTTTCTGGGTCTTTTCCTTCATTTGAGAAGTGCAGAAGCTAGATAACGCACGGTCTCCAGTCGTTCTGACCCTCACTGCTTTGGTTCTGTACCCTTCTTCCTCTTCAAGGTTTCCCCCACCTCTTCCTGTCCCCTCTCCCTCCCCTCCTCTCCTCCCAGGTGTGTGCCTGTGTCCTTCTCTTTGTCCTCTCTTTCTGTGGCTCCCCTGGCTTCCCAGTACTGCGCCTTATACATACTTAGAAAATAATAATAATAATAATTCATTTGTTCCATAGAGGCAAAAGTTCAGTAAAGTTTGAATTCTGTGATATTTAAATTTCCCCGAAAATTCCAAAATTGAATTTATCCTAACTTGGGCAAGAGGAAATTCATGCCAATTTTTAAACAGAATCCAATAACAAACATGCCCCCAAACCAAATGGTAGCAGTGATGGCTCCCTCAATATGGTTATTTGGAGGTGGCACATTCATATGAGTAAATAGCATCAAGTCTAAATAAAGTTACAAGAAAGCTTATTCAGAGAATATTAATTTGGGGCAATTAAAGATAAGGTTTTAATGATTGAGGTCTTGGGGACTGATAAAAGCTATTTAAAAAAATTGGATGATAAAGATTTGCCAGTTTGTCCTCAGAATTGTTGAATTGCCCTTAATCATACTTCTTTAGTTAAGGAGATAAAACTGTTGCTAAACTGCAGGAGAGGAAGTCTCTTTAGCTTGATATAAATGTCATTTGGATCATATGCAAGATTATTTGCAAATGGACTATAATATTAATGTACTTTGTTTCATTTTTTTAAAATTTCTTTCTTTTTTTTTTTTTTTTTGAGTCACCAAGAAACTGTTTCAATCTGTGGTTGAGTTTTTTGGCCATCCGTGATGGGACAGATTAGATCAGCACATGTTTTTCATCACATACTGACCACCCAGATGAAAATGAATTTCTAAAACTGCCAAACCCAGGATCAGGGGCTGTAATAAGAATTTTTCAAGAAGCAGCCACACCCAAAGGGCTCATCCCACAATAACCATTAGTGCCCAGAGCAGAGGGGAGCCCAGCACGGGACAGTTGCCAGCTCATCATGGACCTCAAGCCCCTGGCTGATGTCTTCATCTGGCTGTACCTCAGCCTTCTCACTCCCATCTGCCTGTGAGTGCCCACATCTCTGCTGCAGCCTACATCAGGGAATGGGTGTGGAGTGATCAGGAAGTTAGAGACCCAAGAAGAAGGTTGTGCTTCTAGGGAAGCGTAAATGTGAATCTGTTTGGCTTCTGATTCAGCCCGGAAGAAACACCAATACCTTCTTCACCACCTTCCACAGCAGCAGGTCTTATAATCAATGTCTCCCACTGACATTTACAGTGCCTGCTCATTTGTTGGGCTCCCCACATTATACAACACTTCTTTGCCACCATTTGCCTACCTAGGGATGAGAATTAGTTTCAATAAAATAGGTAAATGTTTCCAAATAAGTACTCAATGTTACGCTCCCCTCCCCCGTTTCTGATGCAACCTGTTATGCTTTGGTGGGAAGCTAAAGAGCTTCAGGGTCCCAGAACCCCCAAACATAACTACCGACATACCTGGGCTCTACCAGAGGCAGCTGCGGATTTGGGGAGTCACATCACCTCTATGGGCCTCGGTTTCCTCAGCTAGAAAACAAAGTGATAGACTGGATAATGTTTCTTTCCATTGGAAAAATCCATAAAGTCCAAAATAACTGAACTCTGACAAATGTTTTTTCCTTTTTTTTTCTTACTCTGAATAATGAAATTTGTATTCAGCTGAGATTGACTGGCCAAACATCATACGTTCAATTTACTAGCACTTAGTGCCGCAGAAGAAGCAGTAAGACGTTTCCACGCCAGCGACAGGCACCTTGTATTTGAAAGTCTTCCATTTCATTATTCACCTTTATGTTTTCACTAAAACACATGTGGTTTTCAAACACAGGAAAGAAAACATGGTAACCTGTGGTTATAATTTCCACTAGAAAATAGAAAACGTGTAGCTCAGAAAGAGTGCTGGTGGGGAGTTCCTTTCTGCTTTAAACACGAAAACCCATGTGAGAAAAGCTTTCTCTTGAGAAGAAGGTTGTTAGGTGGTGCGATTTTCAAAGGTTGTTGGAGAATGAGGCCCTATGGCATCTGAGGTCGCAGCTGCAGTTGAGTTGTGGCTGAACAACTGGGAAGACCACAGGGCCATGGCTTGTTTTTTGGTTCTCTACTGTGTTTTCAGATGGCTACTCTTTGCTCTTGCGTTTCAAATTCTGGGAAATCGGAAGACTAGACAATAACTCTGGTGACCCTTGCCACTTCTTACCTAGTGTGTCTTTTTAGGTCCCCATCTTGAGGCAAGCTGGCATGTAGAAATAGCTTTTCTGGGGGAGCATCTAACCTCCATAACTATTTTCAACAACTGGTTCTGCCTCCCCTGTCATCAGTTGAGTCCACTCTGTGTCTAAATTTAGTTAATTCTTCAATACATATTTATGGAGCATCCACTAAGTTTGTGATAGGGCTGCATGTCTAAATTCACGGTTAATCAGAAAGAAACTCAAGACATAAATAAAAAAGTATCACAAAAGTATTTAGTTGTTTACCATAAATTTATTTATATAAACATACAACTTCAGTAATATAATTTCTCTTAACCACCTGTCCACTTACATTTTGTTCTAAATTGGTCTTTGTGAGTAGAAAGGAGAGATGTCAGTTTCTTAATTATATTACTACAGTGATCATTTTTAACAGGTAAATAAAATATTTTCTGATGATTAAAAAAAAAGTATCTTTTGAATGTTCTAAAGTGTAGTCATCAAAAACTATTAGTGAGTGAGGCGTGGTTGTGCACTCCTGAAATCCCAACCATGAGGGAGCCTGAGGCAGTAGGATCCCGAGTTCAAGGCCAGTCTCAGCAATTTAGTGGGGGCCTTAAGCAACTTAGTGAGACTCTATCTTAATATTAAGAATAAAAGGATGGGGATGTGGCTCAGTGATTAAGCATCCCGGGGTTCAACCCCTGTACCAAAGCCCAAAACAAACAAAACCCAAAAAACTATTAGTGATATGGATTATGTTTCATGTAAATTTCTTTTCATAAGACCCTGTCATTATAACTTTGGAAATGCTCTTTTTTTGGGTTGTTGGGGTGCCTAACAGTGAGGGCAAAACACTCTTGACTAAATCGCATGCACTGGCTTACGCCATCTGCTCAACCTGGAGGAAGAGAACGTGTGGATGGGATCATGAATACTGGGGCTGTAAGTTTTCTTTCAGTTGCCTTCCTGATCACAATGAGATAAGAATGGAGTGTAGCAGGAAGAGCAGCTGTCAGTGAATTTCATGTGTGAGTTCAGTTTCTGAGGGATCAGCTGCAGCATGCTTAGAACGAGAAAGCTGGAGTGAGCAGCTTGCTGCTGCTTCTCTCAAGTTCTTATCTGCAGCGAGGAAGATCTTATCAGCGTGGATGTGTTTATACACAAGCACAGATGTGGATGGTAAAAAAACATGTGTTTCTATCCAAAGAAGAGCACTGGGAGGACTCTGACCCATGCCGTTTCTTCTGCTCTTGTTCTGCTGCTGCTGTCCTCAGCACACCAAGGAGAACTATCTCATGAAAGCATGAGTGAGTTGAGCCACTCCCTTATCCCTATGCAACCTGCCAGCTCCTGATCCCCAGATCGGACACCAACTCATCTTCTGAACCTGTCACTCCTCTTCCTCACTTAGCCACACGGGCTTCCTCACCACTCCCTTCCATGCCAGGCAAGCTTCAGCTCAGGGCATTTGCACAAGATCTCCTTAAGGTCATGGCCTGAACACCAGCTTCTCAGCAATGACTTTCCTACTAACCTGGGGCTTCACTTTGGTTCTGCCTGGCCCACAAGAACCTCTTGCAAATAACTGGTCCAAGAAAGAACCACTTCAACATGATGCCGAGTGAAAGGAGCTTGACACAGTAAAGAAGGTGCACTGCCTGCTTGAGGCAAAACCATGTATGGTGGTGGAAATCAGATTAACGCTTTCCTGGGCAGGGGCTCGGGATGGAGGTAGACTACACAGAGACACAGGTGACCTTTCGGTGAGATGAAAATGTTCTGTACCTTTAAAAAACAGTTTGCATTTATTATTTATTTTAGCTGACAAATAAAAATTGCATATGTTTATGGTGTACAAGGTGATGCTTCAAAATATATATGCCTTGTGAAATGGTCAAACCAAGCCAATTTACATATGTATTATCTCACATACTCATTTATACCTGACGAGATCAATGAAAATCTACTTTCTCAGCAATTTTCAAGTGTATATTGTTACTGAGTCCCATGCTGTGTAATAGATCTCTTGAATTTATTCCTCCTGACAGAAGTTTTGCCTCCTTTGCTGACATCACCCCCACTCCCCAATAGCCTACCTTTTGATCAGGGTAGAGGTTGCATGGTATGCACTCGAGGCAGGAAGTTTTAAAGTAATCTTTGAAAGAGAAAGACTTTCCTTGAGACAAAGGCTTTCTCTCTCTCTCTAAGACACAATTTTTCACTACTCCTCAGTTCTATCTTTCCCCCTGAAACTGCTCCATGCTCTTTTCTGGAATCAACACTACTCACTATTTACCTGTTCTAGCCACCAGCTATTCTCCTCCTGGGTCTCTACCTGGTTTAGCAAGGTCACCTCCCACCCTGGCATCTGGCTTCCAAAATGGAGCCCTCAGGGTGCTTTTCAGTTCCCTTTCTCTCTTCTCCTCCTATTCAAGGGATCAAATAGGGTGGATCAGGGGATGGCGCCTCTTTTTAAACACGTGCC